AGTTCAGTCGAGGGTTAAGCGAGTCTGCCTCGACGAGCGTTACTTGTCACTCAACCAATACGATATGATGTCGTCGATCTGAAGAAGTACCAATTTTATTGATATTAATACCAGTATATTATTTTTCGTATAAGTTTTTAACCTAAGTTGTTTTTTTACTTATTTCATATAGAAATGACAACTACATGGATTAAATTGAATCACAGTCATGAATCAGCCGATAACATTTTCTTGGGCCTGGATGAAAATGGTGGTTTACGTATATCACTCGTCAACGTTCTATTTCCAGGAACCAGCCTGCTGAAATATTTCGATGATCAAAATCAATGGAAATGGTGAGTTCATAAGTTGGATTAGGAGTCATTGAAAAGTCACGCGATCACTTTTTTGATCATTTTCGATCCCCAGCCCCTTGTGATCAAACCTGATTCTTCCTTCCCTCTCCGTTGATCACCTGATTTGGGTGGAGGGTGTGGGTGGGTGAGAAACGAAGAAAGATATAAAACCCACACCTACACCCACACCCACACCCACACTCACACCCACACTCACACCCTATTTAGTGGAATTTTTAAAAGCACGTAACAGATGATGTGAACTAGCACCATATGTCGTGCTTAAGTTATATAAGAATGTTTATTCAATGCTAATTCAAGCAAAAAGACAGTTTTGCAAAAAATATAAAAAACAGTAAAATCGCTGGAAAAACAGAGCAATAGGATGGAAATTTTCAACGAAAGTCTGTGAAAATTTTACCTTTTTTTTTTGAAAAGTCATATATATGCTGAGAGAGGAAACTTCGCTACATCTTTCTATGATAGAAACTTGACTTTGACTATTTTTTGAAAAAAATGGTTTTTCTGACGGAAGCAGGGGGCTTAAATTCTTTTTAATTTACACAAATATTTTTATTTATTTTCTTTGTTTTAGTAAACTTATCTATGTTGATGATGAGTTCTCTCTCATCGGTTGCATTTGCTACTTTGATCGGTTTAATAAAATTATATACAGAAACAACTGATTCAACATTGTATTGGTCTTTACGTAGTGGTACTCTGACATTAGGTGGGATCTTAACAGCGCTTGCTATCCATTGTCGATGGATGAGAACTGGCTAGATGATATCAAAATACGTACATTGATTCTTCATTTATCACTTTCCATTTAGTACTCTTTCCATTTGTTACTTTTTCGTTTGTTACTCTTTCCATTTAGTACTCCTTTTTGTTTGTTACTTTTTCATTTATTATTTTTTTCCATGATGCTAAAATACTCTTCATTGTTAGAGCAATTGGTGCCATACTTAATATGTTCACATTTAGACAAAATTCTCTTCGTACTAATCGCTGCTCAATTAATAGGTTTACTGAATTATTATTCGACCTCTACTATTTAGTCCACACGCTATTTAGTAGTATTCTCTTTGCCCTTCGATTGAAACATACAAAAAATTTATTTTCTGTCGTCTTTGTTCGTTTATGGTAGAAGTAGTTTCAAGTTTTGCAGACAGATATCTTTATTCGGCAGCTTTTGATCATTGTATGTCTACATCACGAAAAGAATATCCACGCCGTTAAAGTTCGCATTCATATGCTTATCAATTTTTTCTATAACACATAACAGGTGACACGTAAAGAATGACTCTCACAGTATTTTATGAATTTATATCTCAGTTGTTGATACTTTGACTTGAATTTTTTTTCAAATGATATTCCTTGAAATTCTCTACAGAACTCAGTGAAAGAGTTTTTCAAAAGAGTAATGGGGAAACCATATGTAGCCACTAATACTTACTTCAAAAGGTTCACTTTCAAAACCACTTGTTTATTTTTACAAAGCTAATTGTTTCGCTTCTTCTAACTAGACAGATTTCAGGCCATTCTAAAGGAAGTTCTCTATGTTTTCAAGCGTGCTCTTTCTAACAGAACTCAAGAAAGATATCTGGAGAAAACTACGAGGGTGAATGTGGATATATGACTTGTCTCCGTCCGTACCCACACTAGATATGTCCATGGCGGCGCTGCAGTTGCCGCTGTGGTGGCGACGTCGTGGCAGTGGCAGTTTTTTTGAATAACCATCGCGGTGCAGCAGCGTCGCGAGAACTATTTTAACAACATTATTGCGGCGACGGCGCCATCATGGATATCTCTGGTGTAGGTACAGACGAAGACAAGTCGCGCATCCACACCCACACCCAATTCTCTCTCAAACATGTCGAATTTCTTTTCGAGAATCTTTTTCTCATTATACCATTATTATATTGAGTCGAGTTAGATGGAGAAATTTTCTTTTTGAAAACCTATCTGAACATTGTTCGATGATTAAACAAATGTTATTTCAAAGGTAATTACTAGAATTTATGGGCAATGATCTGAAATAATTTTGAGCTTTTTTAACAGCAGCGTAAAATTTTATATTTTCATTCATTTACGACGTTTCGATAACCTCTATTATCATTATCAAGTAGAGTTATCTTATGAACTACATAAAGGGAAAACAGATTACATGATGACAACAGTAGAAAAAGGAAATTATATAGAAATTTCAAAAATTTTTTTTATGAGAAATGACATAAGAAGGAAGTTTTTTAGTGTGATCGAATATTAAACAAAAATAATATAATAATATTCTATAATGTACAATCACATAATAAATTTTGTAATTATGTTTTGTCTCGTTCTTTGCGTCGATTTGTATGACCATCTGGAAACACTATAAGTGGTGTTGATTGAGTAGTTAAATCAAGGGGGAAAAAGCTCATTCGGACATTCCCGGCCATTCCGAATGGCCGGGAATGGATGGGAATGGATGGGAATGGATGGGAATGATTGGGAATAAATGGAAATTGATGGGAATGGATGGGAATGGATGCGAATGGATGGGAATGGTTGGGAATGGATGAGAATGGATGGGAATGGATGAGAATGATCAGGAGTCATTTGAAATAGATGAAAACGATTTCATACGTTAGCAAGATGGTTATATTGGTGTTAGAAATATTTTAAGTTACAGTATTTGCTGGAAATAATTAAAACATTCTCAAATGCTTCTTAAAATTTGGAGTCTTGAATATCAGTATCTTTTCTTGAGATAAATGAACGCGTGTTATATTGATACGTATTTCAATCGATATTTGTTATCGTGATATTCAGGAAACTGCGTTTTTAGATGGAACTAGTTTAATAATTATTTTAAAAAAATATGAGAAATGCAAATTCGTCTCAGAAAGATATCCTTTCACGTGATATCTGTTATAACTATGATAAGTAACTATATGATCGGAGTTATCCGAAAAGCAAGTCGCAACACAAAGCAAAATAGGTAGATATATAATTTGGTTGTCACATGCATCAAAAGATTCCACTAATGATAGTGAATAATCTCAAAAACACAAACAATTTTTTTAGCAATATGATTACATAAATAGCACCACTTTTGAATATCTATTATCTTTCGCTATGGCTATAGTTACTATTTGAAAAGAAAAAGATTTAAAAAATGTATACAATTGATGACTGATTAATAAGGCGTAGCTTTTAACATACTTTCAACGATGTGAAAACTGCACATACTATAAAGAAAAATAGGAGAAGGCATACAGTCGTTTTTTATACCATATATGGCATACATTTATATGTTAGATTTGGTAAATACGATTTTATCATTCTCTAAACAGTGTTTTTATTTATATATATGTAGAGAAAATACTATTTTGAATAAATATTTAATAGGCAATAGATTAAAATTATATTTTTAATTAGATAAATTCTTTAGTTTTTCGAACATCGCTCACAACGGAATTATCTGGTTACGTCAGTGATAATTTAATGTCATATATGGAAATTGTTGTTTGAGTATCCAATGGAATTAGTTTTATATTTTTACATAAACAAGTTTGACTACTTAGGGTTTTTAGTTATTTTCATCTATATTCTTTCTATATAAACATTATTTCAGATATGGATAACAATGGTTTTGTTGAAATCAGCAAAATTAAATCTGATGCTTTTTTCGATCTCATAGAAAGCATGTCTAGTGAAATTGAAGTTGAAATTTTAAAAGCGCAAGGAATCAATAATGTTCTTTCTTTATTAAGAGCACAAGATTTGTATTCATTCTTTAAACTTGATTGTGAAGAACTAGAAGACTTAAGAAATCGTGCATGTTTAAAGTTAAAAAATGGTGAATATATGATACGTCCAGCCATAAAAGATAATCTTGATTATTGCATAGCTGTATTAAAAGGTAAATTACATGAACAGTTATCATATCGATCAGAAAATCATGATTCAAGTTCAAACGATTCGAATGAACAACCTAATTGCTTCATCAACACATTCATCAGTAGTCTTAATGATAATATGAATCGCTCTAAATACCGTTATCAATACAATTCAATGATGCGACGGTTTGCGTCTAGTGTGTATGCATTGGGTGGTCGAAATGTTTATCAGTTCTAACGATTGAACATTCCAGGAGCATTTCCATCTATTCCAACATTAGAATCTTATCATAATGAATTTTCTAAACGTATTGAAGAAGGTGAATATCGTTTTGATGGATTGGTTAGTTATTCAAATAAAATTAATTGCTCTTATATATATATTTCCGAAGATTGTACTAGCGTAATCAGCAAAGTCAATTATGATGTTACAACTAATTCATTTATTGGTTTTTGTCCTGAATTGAAGAATGGTTTACCATCAATTCGTCAGTACCAAACCGATGATTTTTATGAATTAGAAGAATGGTTTCAGACAGTAAAACAATCAACTCTAGTAAATATCTATACTGTTCAACCTATAACACATGAAGCAGCAGCTCCGTTTCTATTATCTTGTTTTGGTACCGATAATCAAATTGTTTCAATATGTATACTTTCTCATTGGTTGTATATATATGAAAAATGTCATACTAATAATATTAAAGTTGTTGGTTTTTCGAGTGATGCTGATCCTAAATTTGTTACAGCTATGAGATTAGCAACAGGTTAGATTGATTATAGAAATAATATTCTAATTTTGTAACAAATGCTTTTGATTTTTAAGGTTATTTTTCACAATTACCAAATATAAATATATTGGATAGAGAGGATATTTTCGAAGTACAAATTCCAGATTCATGGATATGGTTTTATATGCGCTCAAAACAGCTATTTTTGTGTTTTCAAGATAGCATACATTTAGCAACCAAATTGAGAAATAGATTATTATCGAAAACCGCTTCATTGCTTATGGGTACTTATGATGTTTCAGTAAATGACCGTCAAAATCTGATAAATAATTATTCAAAGTTCGAACATAATATGGTTTTATCAGATATATATGTAAAAGACCGACAAAACTATGCCTCTTGTTTAAAAATTTCTTCTACCAACGTTTTATATATGTTAAATCAAAATAAAAATACATCTGCCACACATTGCTATTTAACAATATTACATTTTGTTACTGTTGCTTATATTGACAAGTCAACAAATATTGTCAGTAGGTTATTTTATGCGTGGTCGATAGTCTTTATTTGTAGATTTTGGTTGACGTGGTTAAAATTTAAATTGATAAATCATACAAAAACAACAAGTCGACATGTTCGAATGCCGTCTTTAAAAGAAATACAAAAACATTTTATTACATTTGCTGCATTCCATTCGATTGAATTAAATGCTCATATGCTAACCTTTATTATATTATTAGTTTTAAATAAAAAACTACCTATTGAATCATTAAAAATATTCTTATTTAGCTCACAGCCATGTGAGAATATATTCCGCAGCGCTAGAGCTTTAACCGGGTCATTTTCAACTATGACTAATTTTAC